TTTTAAAAAAAAAAAAAAAAAAAAAAAAAAAAAAAAAAAAAAAAAAAAAAAAAAAAAAAGAGCAAATCTGATATTCTTTTCTTAGAATACATCACTGAAAAACTAAGGGTGCATACAATTCCACCCAAAGACACAAAGGTTGTAAAAAGAGCCAATTTTTCCAGTCTCTTCAACGTAAGTGACTGGACTGGAAAAGATCGCATATGGTCCTCTAAAACGATTTCCTTCCTTAGGCAGCCTTCACCAATCCTCCGGATCCACTGCCCCATTTTTCCTAGATAGCCCTTCAGAGAAGGAGCTTTGTTAATCTCCTGTACAACTTGTTTGAGGAATCAGTAACCATAGTTAATTCAGTTACCAATCTGATAACCATTATGTTTGAGGACTATTTTTCACAGTCCTTTCTAAATATGAATACTTAAAATCCAGATTACCCAAAAATCAGGTTTTGGTTGATAGAGTGATCCCAGTTTCTGTTTTAAAGTCTAGTTATATCAGTCACCCTGGAATCAAAGTTAATAGAAAACTTTTTCTCTCCCTTCATTCACTCTCTGGAAAGCAGAAAAAGCCTGAACAATCCATAATGGCCTTTGAATGAGAGTTTCCTGTAAATGTCATTTAAAGTTTTACTAGTCCTCAGAATACATCATTAGCTTAAACCAACTGCAGCTTAAATATACTTCCTTTAGATAATAAGATATTTGTAATCCACAACATACTGAGATTTGTTTTTTCCAATGGTACCAATGATTTGCATTCAATTCCTATTCCTCGGAGGGCAAGCATTTGAAAAAGTCTGATCAGAATTAGTAATCGTGAAATGAGAAATCTTACAAAGACTTAGAGCAATTGGTTTGAACAGTAACTACAAATTTAATACTGAATCACCACAATACTTTACGCACTACTTTCAGAAAATATTTACATTTGTATAGCTTTTAACACAAAAGTCCTATGCACTGATATTATTTTAGAAGAAGACTGACATTTACCATCTTGCGCTAAGTCACAAGGCTGGTAAGTGACAGTGTCACAAGTCTGGTCCCGATTTCAAGTCGGACACCCCTCCCCAGCACTGCCTGGGAAGTTGTTGAAATGACAGGATCCATAATCGGAGTTTCTTACTTTGCAAGAAAACCAAGCCATCTTCCTGATTCAAGTAAGACATTAATACCGCAGGCCAGATACAAAGAAAACAAAGATAATAAACGTCGTGACTTTACTTTCAGAGAAATAAGAAGACATGACCTTTAAAGGCTCAGGACTTAGACTTCCAGCCAAGATGGTGGAAGACAGTCCCCAGCGTCACTCTCTCACACAAATCAACGAATTTACAACTATAAAAATGTAACATCAGCCAAGCTGGGGCCACTGGAGCTCAGGTGAAGAGGAGGAGAGACCTACGGAGTTCACGAAGGCAGGAGAAACCACGAAGAGAGAAAGAAAAAACTGCTCTCACCGTTTAGGGCCACGGCTGCTTTAATGCTGGAGCACATGGAGCAGGAGCCAGCAGAAGCCACAGCTGTGCCCTTTAGATGGAATTACTTGGAGGTGGAAGGAGAGAAGAGGGCCTTGGCCACCCCCAGCACAGCAAGACCACTAACAGGGTTCCCGTGGACCCACGCAAGAATAAGGAGCCAGAACAGCTAAAAAAGGGGAGACACTCAGAGTCCAGTGAGTCATCACAAGGGACCCACGCAGGGCCCGTCCCATGGGAAGTGTTTGGAGCACGAGCGGTGGGGGAGACCAGGCCACCGGGAGAACACTGGGACACAGCAAGGACCACTCAGAGGAGACTGGTTAGGAATGCAGAGTTGCATGGGGTGCAGTTTGATGAAAAAACTCAGGCCCGGATCAGTGTCTACACAACCCAGGTGCACCGAGTATCTGGAGAGACGGAAGTACCTATAAGGTCAACCATTAAACCCTGAGCTGCACAAAAAGCCTTCCCTAGGGAAACAGCAGCAAAGCAGCAATTTACCTCAACAACACAGCTCAAGTACTGGTTCCCACAGAAAGTTCCCCTGTTTTAGAAGCAAACAAAGGACAAAAACTTAGTTCCGGCCCAGGCACACCATGAATGCTTTGGGGTTCACCAGGGGACATGAGGCATGGAGCCAGGGGCAGGACTCCCGCCCACAACCACTCATACTGCCAGCACCTCGGGGCCCCACCTGGGAACCCGAGGATTGGAGCCAAGGACCAGACCCCACTCCCACATACAGACACATCACCAATGCCTAGGAGCCCACCCAGGGACCCAGGGCTAGTAGCCAGGGACTGGACCCGCCCTCTTCCCACAACCAGGCATGCTGTGACAGTGACTCAGGGCCCCACCTGAGGGCCCAAGGCATGGAGAAGGGGACCGGACCTCCCTCCCACAACCAGGCACACCACACCAGCACTTCGGGGTCCGCCCAAGGACCTGAGGCATGGAGAAGGGGACCAGAACCCTTCCCACAACCAGGCACACCGTGCTAGTGCCTTGGGACCCACTCAGCAACCCAGGGCATGGAACTAGGGATTAGACACTCTCCACAACCAGGCACACTGCCAGCATCACAGAGCAGGCCAAAAACATTTCTTCCACGTGGGTGGCCCACCATAGCTATCATGATAACGATGGCTGCCGTGAGGCAGCTAGATGCCACAACCACCACGCAGATGGCCCGCCAGCCACTGGAGTGAGTTGTCACAAGGAGCGTCACCAGCAGAGATAAAGATAGGAGGAGGATGTCTGTCTCCACAGAGCCCATTTCATAGTCATGGAAGAGACATCTGCTCTATGATAGTATTGGGGGACCTGATCACGCTTCTTAGCATTGGACAGATCATTTGGGCAGCAAATCAACAGAGTAACCATTACTCTTTCAGACGGAGAGAAGAAATCTAGGGTGATTAGAGGGGGGAGGGGGAGAGGAAGGAGGACGGCGGGATTAGACAAGGGGCATAAAGAATAATTACAATTTGTAACTATATGCTAGTAATATTGATTTGATCAACATATCTCAATGTTGAAACCCAAAAATATGAGGGACGCCCGTGGCTCACTCGGGAGAGTGTGGTGCTGATAACACCAAGGCCACGGGTTCGGATCCCATATAGGGATGGCCGGTTGCTCACTGGCTGAGCGTGGTGCTGACAACACCAAGTCAAAGGTTAAGATCCCCTTACCGGTCATCTTTATATAGGAAAAAAAAGAAAAGAAAAGAAAACCCCAAACTATGTATAATCAATTTTGATTCAATAAAAATTAAAATAAAAAAATAAAATAAAAGCCTAGGACTTAGAACGAGCCATCTGTGCTGAGACGCCGCGGGCGGGGAGGGTGGGGCTCCCGGGCGTCAGCGCGGACCGCCAGGCACGGAGGCCGCTCCGGACCCACGGGCCTCGTCCGCCCCGCAGCGTCCCGGCACCAGCACCCGGCGCCGGGCCCTGCAGCGACTCGCGACTGCTTGGGGAAAGCGCGACAGGCCTCACCTCACCCCGCCCGGGCCCGCAGCCGTACACCGGCCCCTCGCTTCCCGGCCCTGCCCGGCAGCGCCGAGACCCCGGGCGGAGGCCGGCTGCGCCCCGGCCTCACTCGGCGCGGGCTAAGAGAGACGCCCTAGCCCCGGGTCGACGGGGGCCTCCCGGACCCCGCACCGGCCCCACAACCGGGACAGGCGTCGCTCCCTCCTGCGTCCCTCCACTCCACCGCAACCGCACCTTCTCCTCATGGCGGACGCTCCAAGCAGTCGGGCGCCGAAGCCCCGCGACCTACTCCACGCGGGCCCGAGCACGGGAACCACCCGCGAACACCCGAGATCTCGCTCCTGGCGGCCGCACCGCCAGCCGTTGGGCCCCGCGGAATTTCAAACCAAGCCCCGAAGCGAAGCAGCCCCGCGGTTGGTGCCCCGTCCCGTCGCTCCTCGCGAAGCCCCGCCCTCGCCCCGCCCCTCGGGCGACAAGTGAGTGCGAGTCGGGTCGCGGGCGCGCGGGGGTTCGGGCGGGGACTCGCGAGCTGGGCGTGGGAAACGCTCGAGCGCCGGAGAGGGCTGGCGTCACTGTCTGCGCGTGCGCTGGGCACGCCTGGGCGTGGCTCACTTTCCTCCCTTCGCAGCTGCTTGAAGGGAAGTCCCTCCCAGCCAAAACGTCATCGGAGCCCCACCCAACCCCGCGCAGTATTGATTCCAAGTGCGCCCTGTGGCCCAGAGGCCACGGTCGTCAGGCCTCTTCGGACCGCTCACTGCCCAGAGCCGCTGGGGGCGTAGGAGCCGGGGTTGATAGGAAAGCCTAGCTCCTTAATTCCTCACCCATCCAGGTGATCTTTAGTGGGAATTTTCCCCAGATGAAGGAAACCATACAGGAAAGGGAAAGGGAAGGACCATTGAATCCTGCTCACAGGCCTGGTACCAGAGAAGGAAAGTAGCGCAGAAAAATCAAAGGAATGCGAGGTCTGCTAAACTTATCAGGCCCGGAGAGAGATGAACATGAGGCTTCAATGACATCTCTCTCACCCTTTTCCAGGATAACTGCTAAAAAGTACATTCTAGTAGCAAGTTTCCAGATTACCTGGCACTACCTGCTGGTATAGATTACCCAAATATTATCACTAATTATACAATGAGACCCTCCTTTTTGTTGCAATGTTCCTGGGATTTGTTACGCAAAGAGCAATGTATAGCCAATTAGTAGCTCATGTTTTTGGTGAACCAATGTAAATAAAGATATAAAAAAACACAAAATCTGTTTGCAGCTGCTGCCATGTAGGGCATATATCCAAGGCAACTTAGTTATGTGTTTCTGGGGTTGCAGTCTTCAATCCTGGCCCAGATAAACTTTTTGATTGATACATTTGTGCCTGTTTTTTCTTTTAGGTCGACGTACCTTTCTACACAACTTATCCCGTTAAATCTTCACAACAATCCTATTAGGTAAGTATTATCGCCGTTGTACAAAGGTGGAAACTAAAAAAGATTTGAGTGACTTGCCCAAGTCACACAACTGGTGAATAAATAGAGATCATCTGGACATGGTTTTCTTTCAAATTACATGAGTTTATACAATTGTTATTTGGGCTGGCCGGTTAGCTCACTTGCTGATATCACCAAGGTCAAGGGTTCAGATGCTTGTGCTGGCCAGCCACGCACACACAAAAAATACCCCCAAATTGACATGAGAATACTTCTGTATCTTCCTTTTCTAACTGAACATATGTTACATCCCTAAATGCTTACATATCATAACTTTTTTTTTTCCCCCAAAAGATGACCAGTAAGGGGATCTCAACCCTTGGCTTGGTGTTGTCAACACCATGCTCAGCCAGTGAGCAAACCGGCCATCCCTACATAGGGATCCGAACCCATGGCCTTGGTGTTATCAGCACCACACTCTCCCGAGTGAGCCATGGGCTGGCCCTCATCACTTTTTTTAATGATTCACGGTTGCATAATACCCTGGCGTGTCGATATCTCATAATTCAACTATTTTGCTATTGATATTTAGATTATAATTTTTAAGATAACTTTGGGCTGAATATATTCATACATAAATCTCTGCATCTTACATTATTTCTTACAGCTGATTCTTGGATGTGCAATTACTGAATGCTTCCTTTCCAGAGAGGTTGTATTTATCAATTTGCCCTAACCACCGAACCTCACCAGAAAAGTACCTTCTGTTGTTACCCTGAGAGTGCTGAATACTACTGTACCTTTGCTTGTCTCATAGGTTTAAAAATGGTATTTCCTTCTTTCTTTCACACTTGATTATAACTGAAATTGCACATTTTTCATGTGTTTAGTAGCCAACTGTAACTTGTATGAATTCTCTTTTTGCCTTTTCCCTAAAAGTAGAGGATGCTTGTTTTTTTTTTTTTGTCTTTTGTCTTTTTCCGTGTCCGGCAACGGATCGCAACCCTCAGTGTCACCCCCGCACCGGACCGGGGACCGGCAACGGGATTGCAACCCTCGGCGTTGCTCCCGCGCCTCGCTCAGCCAGTGAGCGGGAACCGGTCCGTATGTGGGATCCGAACCCTCGGGCGGGAGCGCCGCCGCGCTTCCCAAGCGGCACACTATCCAGTGCGCCACCGGGCCGGCCCCAGAGGATGCTTGTTTGCTTCACCTTCAGAACCATGTTTTTCTTACTTTCAGAAAAACTAAACGGGCCGGCCCGGTGGCGCACTGGATAAGTGCGCCGCTTGGGAAGCACGGCGGCGCTCCCGCCCGAGGGTTCGGATCCCACATACGGACCGGTTCCCGCTCACTGGCTGAGCGAGGCGCGGGAGCAACACCGAGGGTTGCAATCCTGTTGCCAGTCCCCGCTCCGGTACGGGGGCAACACTGAGGGTTGCGATCCGTTGCTGGACACGGAAAAAGACAAAAGACAAAAAAAAAAAAAAAACTTCATTGGTCCTTTTGATGTCCTTTAACTTGTTAGCAGTGTGCCAAACATTCACACCACTAATATAGATGCTCCTCAACTTAGGATGGGGCTACCTCCTCATAAACCCCCTCTAAGTTAAATTTACTTGCATTCTTTGTTGATTAACTTTAGAATATCTCAGAAAGCTTCCAAAATTTGTAATCTTTCAAATATGTTCCCAGGGTCAGCATTGTTAAGTATCCAGAGGTAAGGCAGTTTTGTTATCATGTTGTTTACACTGTAGCTCTGAAGCTAACAGAGTCACTGAACTATTGAAGATATCCATTCATAGCATATACTCAGTGTGTGAAACTGTGTAATATGTGTGTATGACCCCATTAAAGGGTCATATTATATTTCTACTGGACAGTGTTGTTCTAGAATATAAGTGCAATGCACTGCCACTATTTATTTACTTGTCCACAGAATCTTTTGTGTGTATGTGTGTGTGTGTATGTGCCTGGCCATTACAGGGATCCAAACTCTTGACCTTGGTGCTGCAAGGTGGCACTCTAACCAACTGAGCTAACCAGACAGCCCATAGAATCTTTTTCTGATGCCACATATTCTTTCTGTGAACTGAAGCCCTGTCAGCTGTGTCTTTGATCTTGCACACTAGATTGACATAACACTATCAAAATTCTAGCTAGATACTTGAGACATGCCTCTTCCTTGGAATATGTTCTGATATACCATTATCATTCTTCTATGGAAAGAATACTTTTGATAATCCAGTAACTCAAGCTTTAATTTTCTTTCTTCCATTTGGTAAGTGGCAGCACTGTGGAGTGGGGAAGACAGAGGAACAGTCTTGCAACTGGGAGGGACAGTCTTGCAAACACCCAGGCGAGAGACAATAAAAACCTGTGTGTGCTGTGGGGATGGTGAGGACAGAATGAAGTGGAGGCATTTAGAAATAAAAACCAGTTGGAGAGGGGGACCAGCTGAATGTGGGGGATAGAAATTAAAAAATCTGAGGTCAAGGATACAGTTTCTTGCATGAATTAAACGTGGGTAGTTGAGGGCCGGCCCGTGGCTCACTCGGTAGAGTGCGGTGCTGATAACACCAAGGCCATGGGTTCGGATCCTATATAGGGATGGCCGGTTTGCTCACTGTCTGAGCGTGGTGCTGACAACACCAAGCCAGGGGTTGAGATCCCCTTACTGGTCATCTTTAAAAAAAAAACAAAAAAACATGGGTAGTTGATAATGTCAATTAAGGGAATACAGGAAAAAGAGCAGATTTAGAGATTGAGAGTGGGGACAAGAGGCTCAATGTATGCATGTATTTTAGACATGTTGAGTTCGAGTGCCTGTGGAATGACCAGGTAGGAAACACTAGTGTGAAGCTCAGGAGTGAGGTGAAAGCTTGAGATCTGGAAATAGATGACAACGACAAAGGACAGAGAGAGGAGAGATGTTAACAAACGGGATAGGCAGAGAGAGATAATCAAAGGAGACAGAAGTACAACCTAGGAGACTGTTGGAGGACAAAAAAAGAGTATCGTGGAAGCTGAACAAGAGAATTTTAAGAAGGAAAGGGTGGCCATCAGTGAGATCAAGTTAGAAGAGGTTTAAAAAGAGAACACTAATATATGTGGTTATAGTTCATAAGTTGGCTTTTATTTTTTTTGGTGGCTGGCTGGTATGGGGATCTGAACCCTTGACCTTGGTGTTATCAACACCATGCTCTAATTAACTGAGCTAACCGGCCAGCCCCTACATTTCATAATTTTTAAAAGGTAAAGAGAGAATGAGGCCACTGCCATCAGCAATGAGAAGGGCACTGGTGACCTTTATAAGAACACTGTTTGCTGATGCCTGAAATGGCTCTAACAGGGGACACAATCTTTCATTCTGCAATAAGAAACAAAAAACTTAATATTAAAGTGCCTCCTTACATTAAAACAACAATAACAAACTTGTTTTCTCTAAAGTGTAATGAATTGCAAAATTTTAGAACTGGCGGCTGGCTGGTTAGCTCAGTTGGTTAGAGCACAGCTTTATAACACCAAGGTCATGGGTTTGGATCCCTGTACCGGCCAGCCACCAAAAAAAAAAAATTGGAGAGGTGCTTGCTGATCATCTAATCCAATTTATGGTTGAGGAAACTCTGGTACAGAGCAGTTTAGTGACTTTTCCAAGGAAGACCCAGACCAGGCCCAGAGCTAGTACAGAGTCCAGGCCACAAAGTATAAGAAGCCCCTATGGGAAGCCCCACTGAGCTTTCACTGATAAAGATAGAAGTGCATGTCCAGAACTACAAGGATATCACATTTGAGAGTACAGGCTTTATTTACAATGACATTCAAACAGGATTTAGCAAAGGATACCTCTTCCCCCTCTTATCTTAGCAGCATGGGCTGTACTTCATAAACAAAAAAGAAATATCCTGGGGGCAGGAA